ATTCTTGTGAGCGTGCACTAGAAAAACAATTGGTTATTGTAGAATTTTACTTTATTTTTCTCATTGAAATAAACAGTCTCTTAAGACTAAAATCAAACATAGAAACAATTTGCTTATATCCCTCCGAACCCCTCAAAAGATGAGATTTAACTCAGGAATATTTTTTTTTCAATAAATGCAAACGTAATTTTAGTATTTTGTTTAGAGACAAGCATGGGCATAGCATTGCAGTATTTGAAGTTCTCTGTATTTTTCTAGGGAAAAATTTCTTAGTACTGATAATTGTTAAAAGGCTTTGGGCTTAATTGCTTTATTTTTCTTCCCACCTACTAAGAAAAAGTATCATTTTTTCCATGTCACAATGTATTTATAAATGTTTTCTCATATACCTTTTCACCTTTTTTGCGTAAGCTTTCTTTTGAAATGTTTACTTAAATCATACCAGCTTAGGTTTGGGTGTGGCTATATAACAAGGTAAAGTTTTACATAAGTACATTTTATATGTTTAAAATCTTTCGCGTTTTCCAAAGAACAGCAGGGCCACAATTTGTTCGATATACATGTAAATGAACACCCCATGTACTTAATGTTGAACACTGTTAAAATTCATAAAAATTCACTAAGACTATGGTTGAGCGACAGAATTATTATAATTGAACATAAGAATAAGTATTTCTAAATAATCGATGAATTCTCTTTCAAGAATAGGTCTACATTCAAACACAAAGAAACATCCTCTCGAATTGTAGATTAAAATTTCTTCCGATTTTCATGATTCTTTGTCATTTTAACCTTAATTTTTTTTTTAGCTGTACTTGCTTGCTTGTGTGTGTGTGTGTGGGGGGGGGGGGGGGGTAATCAAACCTACTGTTGTTAGCTAATTAAATATAAATGAGATTTAATAAACTTACCCATATTTTCTTTAATTTGGTTTTCAATTTCATAGTCTCTTGAAAAAAATTGTTTTGGACACTGAGGAACGGTAGAAAATGAACATCATGTGTAGTTTTTACAACTATGTATGCTTGTTAGATGATCAAAAGAATGATAACGATAAAATTAATTAATCAATGTTTTCTTCTTGTTTTTCCTTCATTTTCCTCGTTCTATACATCAGTAAACCCAAACTTACTTGGATATAGCAGATTTCCTACCATGTATGCTTGTACAGATCAACCCAAATTTATGCACATTGGGCAGGGCAACTTTATTACAAGAAAAAGTGAAGCAAGAAATGACCATCTTAAATCGAGTACGTGAATATTTGCAATTTTCAATGACAAGAGATTATCACAGCTTTTGATGTAAATACACCCAGATGATTCTGTGCGGAGAGAGTACGGTAGAAAGCTTAATTCTTCTTTCCATTTCGATCACAGCCTCTATTTCCTGTTATTTTTACAAAAATTTAGGGCTTCTCTCAAACGTCTAACACATAGATATTCCCATTTTTGTTTTTCATGGAAAATGAGGTCTTCGAAGGCTGTTTCTTCTCCATTTTAATGGAAGTATCTAACCTAATTCCAAATTCGTCTTATTTCTTAACCTTGGCTCCCTCGACTTAACGGAATCCAAGAAAGACTCATCATTTACTTTTGGACGAAACACACTGACTTCTTTCCAATCCTATGATATTTTTTTTTTTTGGGGGGGGGGGGGTAACTTTAAAGATAAATTTGTTGTCTTTTTAGCATTAAATAAACCCCGTCGTTTGGGCATGCTCTGGTAAATATGAACAAAATCACCTATAGCCATCTTTAAGAAAACGGTTTCCTTAGATGTACGATTTCTATATCATGCCTCGTCCTCAGAAATCCCGAGTGGCTGGAGATCAGATTGCAGCAATTTAAACCACGTTTGCCGGGTAGAGTTTCTCTAACCTTGGTTAAAGTTAGGACCATGTTTTCTCCAATGTATAAGTCTTCTTCCTATAAAAAGAGCAGGTCAGTTTCGATATCTAATTGGATCAAATATCTTTGACACTTATATAAAATGTCTTTATCATTGGCCTCTACCTGATACTTGTACTCATGGCAGGTTTTGTTAAGTATCAAATAGAAGTGCAAACAAGGACTTGGTAGGTAGGTACATAAGTAAATGTCCATTTTTTCCTTGTTCTTAAAATTCTTCTACCAAAGATCAGAACATTATTGTTTGTTGATAGTCCTCTCTCAAATATAGTCCTCTATTCCTTCATAGAAAAATGATTGTGTGTTTTCAAGCCTTCTGTTTAATATGTTTTCTTTTTGATCTTTTGAATTTTTATTTATGATTGTGTTCTGAGTGTTGGATTAGCCATGAGCCAATCTTCGACCTGAAATGTTTTTCAAATCAAATCTGGAAATGTTTCATTTTTATTTATTTTCTTCCGAAATATTAACTGCAGCAGTGCAGTGTTCATGGTGCAAACTGTTTTCTGGATGGAGGATTTAATATAAGACGTACTTCTTCCTGAAAATAAATTCTCCTCGAGGGAATGATTTTTCTGAAATTTCAATCAAATGTGAAATTGTGTCATTTGAATTCAAGCTTTGTGAAAATTAAGTTTTGGGTATTGAAATAACGTGCATCATTCATGGATTTAAAGAGTAAAATCGAGTGGATGCTGTGCAGACATTGTGTTCTGGATTAACTCTCCGCGTTCTTTTTGTTATTTACTTGTAAATTAAAAAGTATTTAATGTACTGTACGTGTACATAAATTGACGTATTCAAAATTTAGCGCAATTACTAGGTATTGAGTGGTTGGCGTAATCATGAATAAGCGCTAAACCCGCCCGCGCCGTATAATGTATTTATCAATAAATTATTAACGGTGTTCATGAATTAACGCATTATTGTCCGCGCCAAAGCCGCTAAAATATGAAGCCCGCTTTTTTAAGTACACATACAGTATTTGTTTTGGTTTCCCTCTTGAACACATTCCAAAGTTTACCTGTAACTCTCCATTCTGTTTGTTTCAACTGTCCACTCTTTTAGAAAAAAAAACTGTCCATTCTTAAAAGAATGGACAGTTTTCCAAAAGGAATGGACACTTACAGGTAACTTAATGGATTGTTTAAGGAGTTAGCTCAACATTAAGCTACAGAATGGACAACACAAACAAAAGGTTTACGTCACAATCATGTTTTAAATACATATAACCCGAGACATTTCTTCAAACCATGTTTACCTCAAGATTCCAGCTCAAACATGGAGTGTTTTTACAGCTAGTCAAAGAGCAATAAGCATATATAGTGATCATTACATTTTGCAAAAAAAGGTAGAGAAGATTAAGAATCACAAAATGTTCGTTGCCTATGTGAGATATGTAAAAAAAATACTTCGTTAAAATTTTTTCATTACTTGTAACAGGAATATTTATCTTTAATAAATGAGTAATTATGTAATACATTATTACACTAATTTCACGAAAAGGCATGCAAATTATTCACTGACAAAATTAATGGGATAATAAAACTAGCTGAAACACGCATGAAAAAATATTGAATAATACATAAAAAGCGTCCATTTTCTATTTTTTATTCAATAAATATTTTTCAACTTCTAAATGAATGTGAATGTTCGGTTACATGTAAAAGCCATATGCATTTATGAGATACGTGACTGTATAAATATACATTAAAATTTAAGTATAATGACATGCCTCTCTCTCTTTCTCTCTCTCAAAAGTACATTGCGTTTTGCTTTGCAACAACTGCAAGAAGAAAAATCATAGAGAGAGAGAGCGGAAGAAAGAGAGAGCCTCACAGGCATCAGGTAAATTAATATGTAACAGTTTTTAATGATAATATGTTCACGAATGTGTAAATTATTTTTTTAACTCAAGATTTTGTCAAATTAAATTTTCCAGCAACATCCTTATCTTAGAGACAAATTAAAGTGTCTACTGATGTGATGCGTCAGACGTAGAAACAATAAAGTTTCTAGCGCGTGTTAATCTCTCTCTCTGAAATCTTCCACATGTTATCAAAGGTAAACATTGGAACCTGTTGACTATCTTGCAACTTGCTGCAGATCATACAAATCTTTTTCAATAATAATCAATATTTATGTACAAGAATTTTAACGTTTTTCCTATTAATTTTTTTAGTTTCTACATATCTAATTTAATAAAATAACATAAAATATAAAAAAAAGAAGTCATTTGTCAATCAATCCTCATTCAAAATATTAATATTGGTATCCCGGAAGTAAAGATCTCATCTGGAAAAGTAAACATGTCATGTGGAGACTATTTATAGTTACATCATGTTTGGATCATGTTTATCAAAACACATCTTTCGACACTTTATTTTTGCAAAATAGTCATTTGGTATTAAAAAGTAAGAATTTTTTTTTCACTTTTGGATTTTGCTATAAATAATCCTTCATGCTACAAATATGCGAGAATTAATATTTTGTCTTGTGGTTATCATTTCCTTATTTTCAAAACACAATTACATCACAATGTGACGATAACATTCATTTTTGAGTATGTTATATTGCCGATTTAAAGTTTCTTTGAAATTAATTATTGGCAATTATGGATATCCTGTTAATTTTTTTTTATGTGGGTGATGATTTAAGGAATCACTGTCGAGTTAGTGGAGTATGCCAGGGCATCAACGATAGATGGACACGTGGGGTAATTTGCATAACGGGCGAATCCTTATATTTCCATTTCATTGTGAAATAAAATTGTAAATTTAGATTTTAAAAATGTAGACTAATAGATTTAAATTACACGAGGCCTCACATGTCAATTTCAATAGTCCCCGCTCACTGACGTCAAACACAAAGACAGCCGCACGAGAGTTACATGCATATTAGGCCTCCTTAGAGTCAGACACAAAACAGCCGCACGAGAATTACATGCATATTAGGCCTTCTTAGCTCCTGACCTTTCGCTTGGCGAAATTTGCATTCCGGTGGAATGATCAAGAAATCAACTCTCCTAACTTTCAAAGAGTTATCACAGAGAAAACAAATAGAAATGGAAATATTCTGTTATCTGTTTTAAAATATCTTAATGATCAAATTTGCTAATCCATTTCTTCTAACAGATTTCTGTTTACTTTTCCTTGCTCAATATATCGGTAAACGCAAATTGATTTGGACAGAGAGGAATGGCTGCCACAGTATATTTTCCCGTCCTCATCCACCCAAATGCCAGCAGGACATGTCAACTCGGGTGAGCAGACAAAGAAAAAAAGGAAGTGACCCTTTTGATCCAGAACGTGGATACTGCTGTTTCCAATGTCAAAAGAATCGCCATTTGTGACGAAGATACGCCCGGATGAATCAGTACAGACACCGTACGGTAGAAAGGTTGATTGATTCTTCTTTCCTTTGTAAACACAGCGTATGTTTCCTGTCATTTTTACGACTATGAGGGCTTCCCTTCCAAAGTCCGATACACAGATATCTCCATTTTTGTTTTCTGTTAGAAAATGAGGCCATTGAAACAGGTTTCCTTCTTTGTCTCTGTGAAAATCTTTCAGTCTCATTCCGAATTTTTCGTATTTCGTCACCTTTGCTTCTTTGTTTTTACGCAATCCAACAATGACGTCATCATTTATTTTTGAGCAATAGATACTAACTGGTTCCCAATCTTCAGTATTTATAAACGTCTCTACTGCCCTTCCTGGCGTTACTTTAACGATGGTACTTTTGTCCTTTTCAACGTAAAATAAATCCCCATCTCTGGATACGGTGTGGTAACCGTCTACAGAATTAGGTGTGGCCATTTTGAGAAGAGGGTTTCCATTCATGTCAGATTTGACAATGTTTCCCATATCATCGCTCAACCACAGATACCCCGAGATGTGGCCCGAGATGTGATAGCAGCAATTTAAGCCAAGTTTGGTCATTGGAATTTCCCTGACCATGATGAAAGTAGGCATCGTGTTTTCTTCCATGTACATATCTTCGTCCAAAATAGAGAGCTCGTCAGATTTCATATCCTCAGAGCCAATCTGTAGTTTTCCAAAAATGTTTTGGATTCCATTCAGTTTAATTTGACCTGGAATAAATTCACAGCTCTGAATGATTGGTAGTTTCGGCTCGATCTCTAACAGGGCCAATTTTCCTTGATTGTGATATGAAATCAGACTTCTTGGTTCGTTAGCCTCTATTTGATACTTATACTCATCGCGGGCTCTTTGGAGATCAGATAAATAAGTATTCATCATCTTCTTTTGTTCTTGAAATCCTTCTGTCATAGAAATCTTCAGAACATCAATTTTCTTTGATAGCTCGGTCTCTATATCGTCTACCATTTTCTTTATTGCTATCGCACATTCTTTCATAGAGGAACGAGTGTATTCAATTCTTCTATTCATGGTTTCTTCGTTATCTTTTATCTCTTCAATTTTTCTCTGTGATTTTGGAATACGGGTACTCTCAAGGATAAGCACAGCATAGTGGCATTTTTCTAAAGCCTCATGGAAAGTCAACTCCAAGTTCAAGAAGTGGTGATTTTGATGAAGGCCATGTGTGATACACTGTGAACACACAGGTGTCTGTAAAAAAAAAAAAAAAACATAAAGCCAGTGATTTTTAACACTTACTCTAAAAATACTTTTGCATTTTAGCTGGTTATTACTCTCAATTTATTTTTATAATACTTAGCTGTTCTATTACAAAATGAAAAAAAAATATTGAACCCGGATGTGAAGAATCTTATGTTTGTTCTAATGTTAGAATTTTCCAGACGAATGTAGAACACCACACAACTTTAGAATATAATGGAAAATATTTAATTGCAACGGCACAGACAAACCTGGCATTCTTTACAGAGTAAATCCTCTAGTTTGGAGGGATGTATTCTGCAATATCTTCTCGAAAACAGGTTGTGCTCTATCTCTTCACACTGCGTGGAAGCTTGATGTTGGTTTAAGTATTTATCAGGCTCAGGTTTTTCCTGTGGGGTTTCCGTTGGAACAGGTGTGTTGGTGTTACTTGGGTAAGGTTGCTTACATAATGGAACTCCCATCTAATACAGTAAAAAGTTTGAATTTACAGCTATGTATGTAATCACAACTTTTTTTCTATTACAAATTACTCAGTTCTAGTTGTCAGTTCATTCGTAAGCTTAAAGGTGCCTTTCTGCATGGATGTTTGTTACAGCAAGATATTTTGTAATAAACGTTTTTACTGTATTTAGCATAAAGGAAAGAGACAAAATTGATGAATCAGAACATCATTGTCATCTACATAAATGTCCAGATTCTAAATTTCAGAGTTTAAAATGATGATATATTAAATTTTATAATTTCCACTGGGGACTTCGAAGCTTGTTACCGGGCTTATTGGTAGGGCGCTCGCTTCGAGATCGGGAGTCCAAGGTTCGATTCTCGTTCCCGGCGCCTCATCAAACTTATGACGTAAACTTAAGTAGTGACTGTTCCTACGCCAAGCGCCCCGCACTAGAAGTGAAAGTCACGAGTCTTTTGGATGAGACGTTAAAAAACGAGGTTCCGTTTCACGGTAGGCGTTGGCAGGACCCTCTCTGCTCAATAGCCCTGAGTACCGAGTAAAGGTCTAAATCTGAAGCCCTTCTACGGTATATGGTGACGTCTCTATATGATTGAAAGATTTTCGAATAGAACTAAAACAATATACAATGAATCAATCAATCGAAGCTGGTGAATTTTTTAAAACCTAATTTTAAATGTCTAGAAAAAATAACGGTAAATTAATCTGTTTTTAAACGTTTTCAATGCTGATTTATCATGAAATTTTATTATTAGGTAGACAAACTTCCTGCCCATTTATAATGGAATATGATTTAATTTAATGCATTTCATTGACGTGCTTTCTATCCTAAGCCTAATACATTTATAATTGTAAAGTAGAAAGTGTTACAATACACGGTAAAACTCGGTTATAGCGAAGTCCTGGGGACATGTGAATTTACTTAGCTTTAACCAAAACTCGTTTTATCCGTATACTGAATTCGTTGGATATATTGCCGGGTCTAGCAGATGCTCTAGTTCTTTACGACTCGCAAAAATATTATCTGCTGTAAAGGAGAAAATTCAGACGTATTTTGCTACAGCATATTCTAGGAGTGGTGTAAATAAGATGTGGGTTCTCAGAAACTCCAAATTTAAAATCACCACATCTGTTTCATATTTGAATGTTTTACTGACTATAGACGATTATAACCAAGAAAAATTAAATTGTATGACATACGACATGACTTCAGCTTTTCCATCGTCAACTTTCCTTATTTTTATATGGTAATATTCCGCTATCACCTGCATATGGGGTTTATGTCTCCAAACTTATTCAAGAGCATTCTCTGAGTACGAACAATTTTTAAACCGAGACAGGCTACTGACAGTGAAGTTAACGTTCCAGAGATTTCAACAACCTCGTTTAAAGTCAGAATTTCGTAAATTCTATGGTTGTTATGATGACCTAATCAGCAAATATTACCTATCATTGGATCGTATTTTGGCTGACATTTTTCATTTCAAGCGTTAGGCCTGTGATTTGATACTGACTACGGAGTATATATTCTATCTACCTTATCAAAACTTGCGTCTCTCGGCGGGTGTAACCGATCGACAGGGGATGCTTCCTCCTCCTAGGCACCTGATCTTATCTCTGTAATTCCCGGGGGTCCGTGTTTATGCCCTGTTTACAAATTTGAATTTTTTTGGACTTTTTTGAAATTGATCACTGTTCGTTATCTTCACCTTTTCCATGAGAACATATATAGCGAATTCGCAATGTACGTTTTCTTTCAAGTGAGACTACCGAATATGTTCAGGAAGGTTTTAAATATAAAACTTACCTTCAGGTGGCCAAAGTCTTCAGATGAATTGAATTTCGGATATAAATGCTTACGAAAAATAATGTCAGTTCAATATTTTAAATTTTGAGATAAGAAAAGAATCGCTATAAAATATGTAAATGTCGTTATTTTTTAACTCTACGGGAAACAAAATCATGCAGTTCGCTATATCCGTAGATTCGATATATCATCGTTTGTACTAAACGAGTTTTACTGCATATAAGTATTTAAGATTATAGTTAATATATGTATTTCGCATTTCCGCTTATTTTCTTAATTGTTTCAATGCGCCACGCATTCACAAGGTATTTGAAAATCTGTGGATCTAATCTATATAAAGTGTCTACACTAAACTCATTATCATATATCATATTATTACACTTTATTGCTAAGAGTCAATGGGATGCAACCGTAATAACAAGATAACAGACCATCTTTATCTTTTTCTCAAAGAGGAATGTAAATCTTTTTTTTTTCTCAATTCAAAGTTTCCTTTTTTGTTATTTTTTGTTTGTTTGTTTGATCGAAAATGATGTAGGAATATACTTGTGTTCGGGTACGCCCCTGACTGCCTACATGACAAATTTTGTAACATTTTCCTTCTTTATAGTTGTATAATTGTTGGGGGTCTGTCTTTAATGAATAGTTATTATATTTTGCTTTATTAATTCATTTTCTTGTAAAATACAAAAAGGTAAAGACGAATACAAGTATTTAGAGTAAAATCAGGTCATAAAAATAGTTGTTATACACTTGAATAAAAAATGCATAAAAGCATTCGTTGCTATATTTTCTATGGGTTTTTTTTAATTTTTTTAAATTTCATTTTTTCCTTTTAATTAATATTATTTAATTGATCATTAATTTTTGGTTATACATGTACTCACATACAACGAATACGATTAATTTTTTTCCTGAAATATAATTGCCAAAAACTTTTTTTTTAACTTTAAAATGTTCGCATAAGTAGTATAAGCAGCCTAGCTAGGCGGGTCAACTGAGTGCACTTTTGGGCCCTGGGGGATGGGGGGGGTCAACTGAGTGCACTTTTGGGGCCTCTGGGGGGATGGGGGTCAACTAAGTGCACTTTTGGGGCTCCTGGGGGGGATGGCCGGATCAACGGAGTGCACTTTTGGGGCCCTTAAAGTGGCTGAAAAAAAAAAAATTCATGTGAGATCCTACCTAGCCCTAAACTTGGCAGTGATTCAAATCTTGATTATGACGTCATTCTAGTCCTTCATCGCCTCTCTGGCTGCTTTAATTTTGACACTTTAAAAACACAGCTGATCTCCAGCTGTTATTCTTAAAAAAAAGAAAAACAAGTCAATCTTAAAGTTTAAAAACTCTTTTTATTTAAGTATGATACAAAGTCAATTCTTCTTTTGAAGTTTCAGGGACTTCTTGACCTCTTCCTTGTGTTTTCTTTTCTTAGGCTGGTCCAGTGGTATCAGATTTTCTTTGTTCTCCTGATGTATAATAGCTTCTACTGGAATGTTTAATAAATCACCCTGTTTGTCCCCGAGACTCATGTTTTCCTGCGTCTTTTTTTTTTCCTTGGGCTTGGATGGTTTCTTCTTCTTCTCAGACAGTTTGTTTTGGTCACACTTATCGGCCCAATGTCCAAATTTTCCACATTTGTAGCATAGGTCTTTCTTGGGACATTCAGGGGCCCAGTGTCCTAACTCTTTACAGATGAAACAGGGGTTGGTCTCTCTGGTTTTCTTTGGAGCTTCTGTGTCTGTGTTGGGACATTCAGAGGCCCAGTGTCCTAACTCTTTGCAGATGAAACAGGGGTTGGTCTCTCTGGTTTTCTTTGGAGCTTCTGTGTCTGTGGGTTCTCTACCTTTTTCTTCTTCTATTTTCCACACTTTATCCTCCAGTTGAGCCATTATTTCTCTCAGGTCAACGAATTCACTCATGACTTTCTCTTCAAACTTATTTGCATTCACTTGCATCTGGTTTAGCATGTTGACGATCCCCTCTAACGTGGTGGTTAAAATACCAAAGTCCTCTTTGGTCATGGGCTCTGGGAAATTATACAATCCCAAGTCCAGTCCTACAGGATCCTGAGTCTCTGGCATGGGGGCTATGACATAGCCTTCAGGTGTCGCATAATTGGGGTTGTCTTTGGTATTCATCATTGCTTGTGCCATGGTATACACCTCTGACTTCTGACTGAAAATGATGACCCATACACTCTCTGCGCTGGTTTTTATACTTTTTTTAAAAAGGAAGGGGTCCTGGAAAAACCCACACGCGCTCAGCACGTTCTGAGATCTGGAAATTCCTGAGATGTGAGATGTGAGATTGGTTTTTCCAAAGTCTAAAAATAGATTTAAAAAAAAATTTAAGTCTATTGGTTTTTCCAAAGTCTAAAAATAGATTTAAAAAAAAAAAATTTAAAAAAATTAAGTCTATTGGTTTTTCCAAAGTCTAAAAATAAATTAAAATAACTGGGGTATAAATAAGACAAAATATCATGTCTTCTGTTCATAATCAATTGTCATGTCCAAGCAATACCACTCTTTGATTTTAGAAGGCTATGATTTGTTAATGCAATGGATAGAACAACACCAACAACCTCTTCCTCCCGAGGCAGAACAAGTGTTTCAGAGAGCCACTACCATCATAGAAACCATTCAAGACTTATGGTTACAATGCCTGGCCCTGTTACATCCTCCCAACCTGGGGAGACTAGCTACACTGCATTTTCTATGTCAACGCATGAAAGAAACTCTGCCCCAGAAATGGTATGGGTTAAGCCTGACCCACTATCTCGGAAAGCCTTACACTTTTTTATGCCATCCCCAAGCAAGGAAAGTGATTTTACTCTACCAGGAAATAGAATCGATGGAGAAAATATGCATTCAATACGGGATGAAATATCTGGAAATTTCAGAGAGACTAAGAAATGTGTGACTTTTAATACAGACTTGAATGAAATTCATTATTTACCACCCGAAGATCGGAAAAGTGAATGGATGGCTTTAGTAACCGATCGAATGAGATTTCAACGCAGAATTCAACATTTGGAACAATTGTTAAACCAAAAAGAAAAATAAAAGAATGAAAAAGACACTAAGTTTTTAGTTTGTTATTGTTGTTGTTTAGTAATGACGTCATCATGTATCCGTTAGACGCTGAGTCTATAAAATCCTGGTTTATTTAAAAATCTAAACTTTCCCACTGCA